GATAGAACAACAAAGAGGTTTAATCCGCTTCGAACATTTATCGAACGTTGATTAGATAAACATACCCCCTGGTTATAGGTTAGCTACCTGTTATGTTATTACACTACCTAGATTTTATAACAATTGAAAACAGTTATGAAAATGTAATCGCTATACTGATCGAAGTTTCCTTTTTTTTTTTCATTTTTCCTTGTTTTCCAAACAAACGAGATAAGTGAGCATTGAAAGAAAAAAAGAAAAGATTGAAAGAAATAATAGAAGACAAAAATATCCACCTGTTTCTCTCTTTTTTGTTTATCTATCTGTTTATCTTCTCTCTCTCTCTCTCTCTCTCTTTCTGTCCGTATCTTCCTCTCTCTCTTTCTTTTTTGTTTGTCCATCTTATTCTGTCTATCTGTCTCTATCTCTATTTCTATTTCTATTTCTCTCTCTCTCTCTCTCTCTCTCTCTCTCTCTCTCTCTCTCTCCTTTTGTCTCTTTCTGAACGAATAGAGTTTTATCTACGTACAAAAGTCCCTGAAACGAGAACTGCCTACTTCCGAGTAATGAAACCCAATGCGGTAATCATCGTGATTTAACGATACCAAGTGCTACCGGCTGATACGGTAGGGTCGGTTGAAGAAGGATCTCCTCTCACGCATTATTTTTATTTATACGATACATATATAGATCTAGGAAGTTTCCTATTCAAGTATAATATATATCATAACTATAATAATAATAATAATAGTAATAATAATAACAAAAGATTTGTTTTTCTTTTCTCTTCCTTCTGTCCTTCATTCATATCATTTACGAATAATATCATTTAATTATTCAATAAATTTGAACTTTTCATTAATAATATATATATATATATATATATATATATATATATATATATATTATATTACTTATACTAATATTTCCTAATGAATCAACAAACAAAACATTTCTAATATATATTTTTACTACCTGCTTGATTAAATATTGATTTTTATGTTCTATTCTATATTTTTTTTTTTTTTAATCCTCTTCGTCAATATTACATACGTATGTAAATTCTTTTTCATTCCTTTAAAATTTTGCAATTTTTAATTTATCCTTCCACTCTTTCTCTTAATGCAATTCGTAAGGATTATCTATCTCGTTTTTCATTAAATCACAGGATTAATCGGGATTTATTATTTAAGAATGTCGTCTGACGACATTTCTATTTGTAAATCCTGAGGATGATTCTAAGAAATAATGTGAAGTAAAATTGCTATCAGGAATATTGTCTTATGTTTGATTTTTTACTTAAATATATATATATATATTTTTTTTTTCATACTTCAACATCGATTTAATAAATGCTATGTTAAAATTTGTAAATAGATTAAATATCTTTGTACAACTTTCCTCGTATATAAGTTTTTGTTTCTTCCTTCGTCTTTTTTTTTTTTTCACTTGACCATAAATATCACTTTGAAAATTATAAATATAAAATTGCATTGTAATATTCTGACAAACTTTTCCTGCGTTAATTCTCTCTCTTTCTTTTTTATACCTCATCATAAATACTACTATTAAAAATTATAAATATAACATTAGTACGTAATATCACGGCAAACTTTTCTCAGATAAATATCTTTCCCCCTTTTACGCTATCGCCATAAATATTATTACTTTGAAAATTATAAACAAAATAAAACAAAATCATAATATCCCGGCAAATTATTCTACATATAAATTTTCTAAAACTAATTAATCTCTAAAAAATAAATAATAATAGTTAATAAAATAAATTTAGCAAAAAAAAAAAAAAAAAATAAAATAAAATAAAAGAAAATAAACATAACCTACAAAAATTGAATAAAAATAGTCGAAAGGAAAAAAAAAAGAGGAAAGAAAGGAAACAAAGAAAAAAAATTATTCCGTAAAATTGTAGATCTTAGAAAATGAAATCACCTGAGGAATCATCTTTCACCGAATTTGTATTAATGTTATTTCCCTTCTTTGTTTACAGTTTGGTATCAAGTAAACAATACTATTGGCTAACGTATCTCACGTAAATTCCTATCTTCATTCTATTACGACGTAGTAGTAGTAGTCGTTACTTTTTTGATTCGTTATAAATATTCCATGATTCCACGAAATTAAAATAGATAATATAACGTGTTCAATTAAAACGAAGAAGAAGAAAAAGAATATATATCCTAGATTACAAAGAATTCTTACACGCTTTCTTGCTGTCATTACATACATGTACATATATATATGTATATATATATATATACATGGTATATAGCAGAACTTCGTCGTCGCGAGTGGCCTTTCGTATTTAATTACAAAAGGTGTCCGATATAATTGACAGCTTCATTGGCGCACTTTTCAGCTCCATTAACGACGCTTCTTCTTCGTGCAAGCCCGTTTGCCCAAACTTTACGCAACAGCTACTAGCATTGAAGCGATGGATCACAACAAAGTGTATAAGACGATTCATATACATATACGTATATGTATATGTATATGAATATAT